GAGCGCCGCACTGTCGGAGGGTCAGTGCTGAGGGAGCGGGCACTGTTGGAGGGTCAGTGCTGAGGGAGCGCCGCACTGTCGGAGGGTCAGTGCTGAGGGAGCGCCGCGTTGTTTTTGTTATTAATTCACCTGACGAATGTGTTGCTGGCTGCCCAGAGGACAGTTGAGAGTTAGCCACATCGCTGTGTGTCTGGAGTCACATGTAGGCTGGGTGATGATAGCAGCCCTCTCCCCTAAAGGATATTAGGGAATCAGATGGGTTTTTCCATCAATCAACATGCCTTCATCATCATCATTAGACTCTTAACTCCCGATGTTCACTGAATTCAATATCCACTATCTGCCATGGTGGAGTTTGAACCTGGTTCACCAGATCATTACCTGGGTCTCTCAGTTAATAGTCCAGCGATAATACCATGTGGCCATTGCTTCCCCAAACTGACGGTGTTGATGCATTATTTAATCTGTATGATTAGTCTAGTGGGGTACAGAATGTCACTGACCCTCTGATATTGGAAAGTGCCAGTGTGTGTGTGGGGCGTTGTTCTAATTGGAACTCTATAAAATTTTGATTGTTATAAAACCATTCTTTGTGTTCTAATGGTGTATAATATTCTAGCCCTTTCTGTTGTACATTGTGACCGTGCTTTAAATATGAAAGTTGACCATCAGGACAGATTGAATACTCACATGCAGCACCAGGGTGCTTCGAGTCACTCGGTCGATTGGCTTGTAGAGCAGAGCTGGAACAGACAGACACGGCTGAGTAAAATAAACTTTCACAATCACTTCACTCAATAACAGCTTCATACTGTATCTAACCCCGTGCTGTCCCTCTCCTCGGAGTGTTTGATGGGGACAGTGTGGAGGGAGATTTACTCTGTATCTAACCCCGTGCTGTCCCTGTCCTCGGAGGGTTTGATGGGGACAGTGTGGAGAGAGATTTACTCTGTATCTAACCCTGTGCTGTCCCTCTCCTCGGAGGGTTTGATGGGGACAGTGTGGAGGGAGATTTACTCTGTATCTAACCCTGTGCTGTCCCTATCCTCGGAGGGTTTGATGGG